CCCCTCCCCTCCCCTCCAGCTCTCTAGACTCCAGTTTGGGCCCCTCACGAGGCAGGTCCTTGGCGATGTAGCCCCTGCCTTAATCCACGGGCTGCTCTTCCTCGTGGGCGCAGGGACAGTGGCCGGGCCTGCGATCTCCATGCCTGTGCCCGCACACGGATAGTACACACATGTGCAGGCACCGTGGCCGGCATCTCGGGGCATACACACAGGCAGCAGTCCATCACACACAGGCAAGAGGCACTGCCGGGCCCCAGACGGCTCTGGTGACACCAGTCCCGTCTCCAGCCCCCAGTTTTCCTTGCCAATGTGACATTGGCTCGCAGCCGGGTGGGTAGTGCAGGCGAGCCCCTTGGTCCTTGCCTCCCCATGTGTCAGGCTGTGGGGACAGTCCCGCCGGGAGGGGCCCCCGGGCACGTGTGAGCAGTTACAAACAGAACACAGCCGAAATGATGGGGCTATTTTTCCATGTTCGTCAGGAATCAGGATCATTCAGAGGTAAAGGACCCAGGTGGCTTGATTCTGCCCACGACCGTGGGAATGAGAGCTGGGCGGCGAGGCCCAGCTCCCTCACGCTGTGGCTGGCGTCCTGCTCTGGCCAAGAGCATCTTCCGGGTGGATGGCACCCTGCCTGGCCATGTTGGGCCAGAGAGACACCTGGGCCTTGGAGGCCTGAGCTGGGGCTGGCAGGGACAGAATGAAAGCTCCCACCAGAAGGCTCCGGCATGAATCCCATCCGCACGTCCAGGTCAAGTGAGCAGCCCGGGTCCGGAAGGTGTAGAGAGCCCCGACCCCACGAGTCCCGGCCTCACTCAGCTCACAGGCCATGCCAGGCGGCGGCACCAGAACCTTCCAGAAGCCCAGCTCCACCTGCACAGCTTCCGACCCAGTCCTTCAACTCGGTTCTTACCTAACGTGTTTGTTTGTTTTGAGACAAAACAACCACCTGTCAAAGTGCAGGTGGCTCCAGAGGGACAAGGCCCTCCCACCCCCGCTCCACCCCGGAGCCCACCCCCGGGCACTGCGTGCCACCTGCACGTGGCTGTGTCTTCACAGGTCTGATGCGAAAATTCAATCATGACGTAGCCAAGGCTCGAGAGCGCCCCGGCCTCACGGCTCATTATCTCTATTTATTTTACCAAATGCGAATTGAGAAAGACTTTGACGAAACCCGAAATTGAAATGTGAAGCTAAGAGCAGTGACAAAAGTAAACTTCACACACGGACTCTGTGGCTGGCGGCTGTGTCTTTTAAGGAAACTGCCCACCCCGCCTCGGGGGCGTCAGCCTGAGCAGTGTTCTGGGGGGCATGTTGCCCGGGTCTCCCCTGCTGTCCCCAGGGCCCCCGGCAGCACTGCGTCCTGGGCGCTATCCAGGCAGCCACCACAGCCATGGGGGCCTGGCATGTCCAAGGGTGTGGGAAGGTCTCAGTCCTCGCCTCCCGGGCAGCAGTCCCTCCCAGGCAGTGCCCGCAGTCCTGTGACGCAGACCCCACGTCGGGGAGCACACTGTGTGGCAACAGCCATCGGGCACATTTCTTTCTGTTTAAAATGACACAATTATCTCTCACAGTTAGAGGCCCCATTCAAGTCTCTGCATTGAAATCTGGGCCGTGTCAGACTTCTGGGGGAGAAGCTGCTTCCCCGCCCCTCCCCCCTGCAGGCCCCCACAGCCCTTGGCTCGTGGCCCCTTCCTCCGCTTCAGAGCCTCTGAACCAGGTCCACGCTGCCGCCACTTCTCTTTCTGATGCAGCTGGAAGTGTTTCTAGGCAGGGACCGGGCCCACCTCGGACTGTGCCAGCCTCGGTCCTCATCCCATCCGCCCAGCTCTCTGGCCAATGCCATTTATTTTTTTATTTTTTATTTTTTTGAGACAGAGTTTCACTCTTGTCACCCAGGCTGGAGTGCAGTGGCATGATCTTGGCTCACTGCAATCTCTGCCTCCTGGGCTTATGTGATTCTCCTGCCTCAGCCTCCCAAGTAGCTGGGATTACAGGTGTGCACAGCCACACCCAGCTAATTTTTACACTTTTAGTAGAGATGGAGCTTCGCTGGGTTGGCCAGGCTGGTTTCGAGCTCCTGACCTCAGGTGATCCACCTGCCTTGGCGTCCCAGAGTGCTGGGATTACAGGCGTGAGCCACCGCACCTGTCTTACTCTGGCCAGTTCTTAAAAAGCTCTGATTTCTAGATGGAACTTTGCTCTGCAGGCCATGGCCTAACCCTGTGGCTTTTCCCACACAGGAGGGTCTGGCAGGGGTTGGGAGCTGGGGAGAATGCTCTGGAAGCCACAGCAGAGGCAACAGGCCTGGGCACGGCCCTGCAGGGTGAGTGGGAGACGGGTCTCTGGGGATGGTCATGGGGCCGCCACCTCAGGGGCCTGACTTCCTGGAGAGCTTGGGAACAGGCTCTTGTCCCCCCAGCACCTCTTGCCTGCTGACCAGAATTGGGTCTCAGGCATTGAGTAACTTGCTTCAAGCACTACCTGTTGGGTGGCGGCAGGGACTGGGATCCTAACCCCACCCCAGGGCCACATGTGGAGACCTTTGCTCCATCGCTCAGGCGGGGGTGGGTCAGGGCTGGAGGAGTGTTAGGAACAGATGCTCAGGGCCACAGAGAAGACTCGGCACCAAGACAAAAGATGTCTCAGCAAAGCAATTTTTACTTTTTTACTTCCTAGACTGCAGGAAGGGTACCCTCACCAGCCATCTTGCCACGAGAGTACCACGCATAAAGGAAAAGCAGGCATATTTATCCTTCACCCATTTGGGGTCTTCACTGCTGTGTCTGATCTCCAGTGGCTGGAGCCAGACCTCACAATCTAAACTAAAACCCGATGGCTAACAACTTAAAACTTTTCTTAACAGGTGAAAGCAATGGAGAGCTGGGACATGCCTTTGAGCACGTCCAGCAGAGATATCTTGGTTAAAGTACAAGGACATAGAATGTACTACGTGCCTGTAAGCACGGCGTGTCTAACAGCTACATAGGATACGGCTTCACAAAGAGTTATTAGCACACTTATGATTTATTCTTTAACTAGAAAGGAAAGTTTAAAGAGGAGCTTTTCTGCTTCCCAGAGAGAGCCACGCACTCAGGACACACAGGTGGCCATTGTGCACGCGGCGGGAGTGGCAGCTGGGGATTTGGATGCACCAGGGTGACGTGTGGAGCCACCAGCCCGCTGCGTATTCGGAGGGGGCACCTGCTACCCGCTAGACCCCCACCCACCACGGCCTCACCCCCAGGGCTCATGACTCCTCCGGGAAGTCTGCTTGCTGAGCACAGCACTGAATGCCCTGTCCAGGGCGTTCCTTGTGTTCATGTCATTCCCTGTCCCAGGAGAGGTGCTGGCGCCGCTTCAGCCTGGGCCCTGGGAGGAGCAGAGGTCAGGAAAGGGCCTCTGGCAGCTCTTGACAAGGTCCTTGAAGGGTGGGCCATCGCGGGGATCAGCCAGGCTGGGGACAGCAGCAGCGGCTGCCGGGGAACAGGCAGGTGCACAGAGGCTGGAGGGATCATGGCCGGGGTGAGGGCGCAGCAGATAACTGAGGGCCAGGACTGGGGAACGGGCCAGGACTGGGGAACAGCCCAGGTCTCCAGACCCCTGTGCCCCCAGAATGACGAAGCCACTCTGTGCCCGAAGCTTCCTGTGGCTGCGGCCACCAGTCTCCACAAGCTGGCGGCTGAGAGCAGCAGACGCGTTCTCACCAAAGGCAGCTCAGACTCAGGCTCCCTGGGCTAAAATCAAGGTCTTGGCCGGGCCGCGCTCCCCTGGAAGCCCCCGGTCAGACCCTTTCCTCGCCCGTTCCAGCTCCAGCCCCTTCCTCTTTTCAGAGCCAGTCCCCACCCCCTCACTGACTCTCCTGCCTCCCTCCTCCACTCTTTTTTTGAGACAGGGTCTCACTGTCACCGAGGCCGAGTGCAGGTGCCACTGCAGCCTTGACCTCCTGGGCTCCAGCAATCCCCACCTCCGCCTCCTGAGTAGCTGGGACCATGGTGTGCACCACCACTCCTGGCTAATTTGTGTTACTTTTTGGAGATGGGACTTGGTCTCACTATGTTGGCCAGGCTGGCTTCAAACTCTTGAATTCAGGGGATCCTGCTGCCTCGGCTTCCCAAAGCCCGGGGGTTGCAGGTGTGAGCCCTGTGCCTGCCCGTCCTTCACTTTTAAGGACCTTGTGATTACAGTGGCCCCCCGGGGTGCTCCAGCATCACCTCCCTAGTTTAAGGTCAGCTGATCCAACCTTCATTTCATCGGCAACCCGGATCCCCCAAGCCAGGTGGTCACAGGTTCCCATTAGGACGTAGACATCGCTGAGGACGCTAAGCTGCCAACTAACCCTGGTCCACGAGCCAAAGGCCCTCCCGCCAGGCAGAGCTCACAAACT